CGATTACACCGACCTCAACAAAGCTTGCCCTAAAGACAACTTCCCATTGCCGAGAATCGATCAGCTCGTGGATTCAACTTCTGGTAATCAGCTGCTCAGCTTCATGGACGCCTACTCCGGCTATAATCAAATCCTAATGTACGAAGATGACAAGGCGAAGACTTCTTTCATCATAGAAAGAGGGACCTACTGCTACAAGGTCATGCCTTTTGGGCTGAAGAACACCGGAGCAACCTACCAAAGGCTCGTGAATAAAATTTTCAAGGAGCAGATCGGCAAGACCATGGAAGTCTACGTGGATGACATGCTGGTCAAAGCCCCTAAGTGAGTAGACCACATCAAGAACCTCACTGAGGCGTTTAGCCTGCTCCACCAGTATCGCATGAAGTTGAATCCAAGTAAGTGCACGTTCGGTGTATCGTCCGGCCGATTCCTAGGATACCTAGTAACTCAACGAGGTATCGAGGCGCACCCACGCCAAATCAAGGCCATTCTCGAGATGAAGCCACCTTCAACAGTAAAGGAAATACAAAGTCTGACGGGCAGAGCAGCGGCCCTTAACCGATTCCTCTCGAGATCCACTGACAAGTGCAGACCATTCTTCAGGGCTTTAAAGAAGGGCCAAAGAGATAAATGGGATGAGGAGTGCGAAGAAGCTTTCCAGAATTTAAAGACTTACCTCACTTCACCTCCCCTGCTCTCGAAGCCAGTTCCTGGTGAAGACTTGTTCGTGTACCTGGCGGTGTCCAACTCAGCCGTCAGCTCAGCTCTCATCCGAGAAGAACTGGGGGCCCAACATCCGGTATTCTACACGTCAAAAGCCCTTCTCGATGCTGAGACTCGCTACTTTGGCCCTTGTAGTTTCCGCGAGAAAGCTACGACCCTACTACCAAGCTCATCGAGTCATCGTCATGACCGACTTTTCTTTGAGGTCAATGCTGCACAGCCCTGACGCGTCTCAATGACACATGAAGTGTGCTATAGAGCTAAGCCAATACGACCTCCTCTACCGGCCGAAGACTGCAATAAAAGCTCAGGCTTTGGCAGACTTTGTCGCAGAATTCACGCCATTGGCTGAAGAAGAGAAGCTGGTCAGCAAAAAGAAGGGAAGTTCGAGAGCAGACAAGACCTCC